GAACAATGTCTGGATAATCAAATCATGCAAATGAGATACAATAAAAAAGAGAGAAGTAAAGGCCTGATTTGAAATAATTACATTAATCGCTCGCTTTTGGATAAAACATATATTGACTTTGGTGGGATTATACCCGTTTTTGAGGCAGAGCAAAACCTGCTATAACTGTGTAAGAACAAAACATAATGCTTATTTATATTTATCATCGTTACAGTCAAACAAAATCAGTCAGGCCAGACTCGATAAACAGAAATTTACTTTAACATTGTTAGGTATGAAAAGCGAGAAATGAAGAAAAAGAAGAAGAAGAATTGGAATTGGAGTTGTACTACCAATACAAAAATGACAAAGGAAAATCTTAGTATCAAACAAAATGTTAAAGAACATCATTGTTTCGTGGAAGATATATGTTGACCTCGGATCAAAGGGTATATACCAAAGTTTTGTTACCAGCAGGCATCACGCGTTGATCCTACGTTGAAACAATGTCATTTATATTTGATTTCGAAAATTTGAATCTACGTTGAAATTTCATCATCCATTCAACTTTGAAGTTTCAACATATATTTAACGTTGAATCAAGGTTGAATAGAAGTTGAGAGTACATTGATAAGATATATTACACATTTTGGCCGGCATTCCAAATTCATGCTGTTGTCCATGGATGATAGGCAGACAGGCAGATTGACTCTGCAGCATTTTACTTTCTAAGTAAAGTTAGTGGTTGGTGTAATGTCCAACATATTTTTGAATTTCTATTAAATTTATTGAATCATGGGTATTAAGCTATTGAGAACAAGAAAAACTACAAGTACGAATAGCTGAAATGATGTTGCGTGTCCAATTGTATAAAACTAACTATATGTAATATCATGGGAGACACACACCATCATTTCAACTATTCCTACTTGTAGTTTTTCTTGTTCTCAATAGGTAGAAAAAAACCACACGAACCATTGAATTTGAATACACAGTTTGCATACAAAATTATGACGTTGACACTTTATTCCCTCTTTTGTTTTACATATTACCATAATGTACAACTTTAATAAAAAAAAATACGATCTCCTTAAGAATGTAAAAAATTAAATTGAAAGCTTCAAAGTATCACTAAACAGAAAGAATTTGTTGAATAATTTTAAACAATTCTCACAAGTTACATCTCGTCCTTGTGAAGCGACTGACCAACTATTAAATCATTCTTGTAAGTATTATATCCAAAGAAAATTGAAGACAATATAAAATTCAACGAGATGCGGCATGATTGCTAATGAGACAACTCTCCAGAAGAAACCAAATGTCCTTAATTTCATATACTTTACCCTCACCCCTATAGTTGGTATAATCTATAACACGAATACAAATTTACTAAAGACTAATATTAACTAAGTAATACATTGATATTTCTTTTGATTCACGATTTATTTTATTAATTAATTCAAGTAGGATGTTTACTTTTGGTGGATTTTGATAATGAAGGAGCTTCTATCGAGATTTGTAAAATTGCAGGTTTAGTTTTGTAATTGATACCTTAAAACACTTTACCTTACACTGTTTCGTATTGATAACTGCACAAATCCATTAATATTGAAAAAATAAGAAAATGAAAAAAAAGGTAAAACAACTTTGCCCTGGATACCATCTTTTTATCATAAAACAATTTCTTTCTTTCCAAAAATCCAATGACGGTGTGACGATATTATTGATGTCTATAAAAATATAACCTAGTCATTGAAGATGTTGGTGTTAATAGATTATACTCATACTGTTGTATAAATAAATGGAATAATCTACAGAGCCTATAATAGAATATTTTAGATTAGACAAACATAATATGGTATATAAAGTAATTGAAACTTACCAAAAGTAGAATAAACAACAGATGTAACACAGAGGTTTAAACAAAATTGTTTTGTTTATCATGTTTATGAATATTTGAGAATTGGATGAGTTTTATTTTCAAATATGTTTATTGGATATAAAAGCATTTATACTAAAAATATTTAAAAAAATCCCATCTTTCAATTACACTACAATACATTTGATTTTCCCCGTCTACCTCTTTTTGGGTTTTAATGAATTCATGTTGGCATTTTACACCAACAATTGAATGCTAAAATCATTTCATATTAAGACATTTCGTAGAAACGAAGGGGCTATGCAGTCATGCATACTATGTTTAATCGAACATAAATCATCACATTGAAACAGCACGTTACTGCTGTCTGACGAAGACATCTATGAAAAGTTTTTTTAATATACATCTTTGATTTGAAGTTTCCCTTTTTATGTTAAAGTGTCATCTAAAATGAAAAAAATATTTTGTGGAATAAAAACGTGTGACAAAAAATACGAACTCACATTTAATCACCTGAGTTTCGTATACTTGGCGAATCCAGAGGGTTAATTTACAGTCATGAATGGAATTTTGATATAATTATCTGAAAATGAATTTTCTACATGTGATATACATATTTATACATGGTATAGTGCAGCTAGAATTCTCCCTGTTGTCTTTATATACCAAATTCAATGAAAAGTGTCATATTTCGTGCAATGTCGATTTCATTTCACGTCTTATTTTATCACAATTTCGGGCTCGTTTATGGATGGACAATAAGTTTTCATTATTTTAATCGTAGCTGCTATATTAAAACAAAATTAGATCAATGTCAGAAAAACACCAACTTTTTACTTGAAATGAAACTGTTGAAAGGCTCGATGAACCTTGCCTGCAGTTTCCATAACCCAAACAAAAAGCAAAAAGTTGATATTTTTGTGACATTGACTTAATATGGTACATGTATATGATGATAATGTGTACATATATATATATATATATATATATACAAGTCTAAATTGAAAACAACGTTCAAACCTATGATTGCGTTGGATAAAAACCGCAATTTTTATACGTGTGCATGCAAAACAAATTTCTTGGTAGAGGGGTCTAAAAACAGCACAAACAACATTTTCCAAAAGACCAAATGAGTGAAAAGGTATATTTTAACAAAACGCATTTGACTAGCAGGTCGAACAACTGATGTTCTTTAACCCTGCTGACTGCCATTGGCGAATGCCAAATAAACGGATCACAAGATGTAACAAAATAGATCTTATTATTAATTTATTACCAAACAGAAAACAATAAACTTGCGGAAAAGATGGTATACCGCAAACATGAGGTGCAAAAATTTGTACACCATATCCGGATTTCGACAATTAATGTCTCTTCAGTGATGTTAGGAATCGAAACGGTATTTGGAAGGCCATATAATTTACCTCAATTTAGGATAGACTCTTGAATTTTGAAAGAGTCAAAATAGGATGAACGGATCATATAAACCCGAAAGCAAATATAATACAAGCCCAAACGAAAAAATATAAACAAGTCTAAATTGAAAACAACGTTCAAACCTATGATTGCGTTGGATAAAAACCGCAATTTTTATACGTGTGCATGCAAAACAAATTTCTTGGTAGAATGGTCTAACAACAGCACAAACAACATTTTCCAAAAGACCAAATGAGTGAAAAGGTATATTTTAACAAAACGCATTTGACTAGCAGGTCGAACAACTGATGTTCTTTAACCCTGCTGACTGCCATTGGCGAATGCCAAATAAACGGATCACAAGATGTAACAAAATAGATCTTATTATTAATTTATTACCAAACAGAAAACAATAAACTTGCGGAAAAGATGGTATACCGCAAACATGAGGTGCAAAAATTTGTACACCATATCCGGATTTCGACAATTAATGTCTCTTCAGTGATGTTAGGAATCGAAACGGTATTTGGAAGGCCATATAATTTACCTCAATTTAGGATAGACTCTTGAATTTTGAAAGAGTCAAAATAGGATGAACGGATCATATAAACCCGAAAGCAAATATAATACAAGCCCAAACGAAAAAATATAAACAAGTCTAAATTGAAAACAACGTTCAAACCTATGATTGCGTTGGATAAAAACCGCAATTTTTATACGTGTGCATGCAAAACAAATTTCTTGGTAGAGGGGTCTAAAAACAGCACAAACAACATTTTCCAAAAGACCAAATGAGTGAAAAGGTATATTTTAACAAAACGCATTTGACTAGCAGGTCGAACAACTGATGTTCTTTAACCCTGCTGACTGCCATTGGCGAATGCCAAATAAACGGATCACAAGATGTAACAAAATAGATCTTATTATTAATTTATTACCAAACAGAAAACAGTAAACTTGCGGAAAAGATGGTATACCGCAAACATGAGGTGCAAAAATTTGTACACCATATCCGGATTTCGACGATTAATGTCTCTTCAGTGATGTTAGGAATCGAAACGGTATTTGGAAGGCCATATAGTTTACCTCAATTTAGGATAGACTCTTGAATTTTGAAAGAGTCAAAATAGGATGAACGGATCATATAAACCCGAAAGCAAATATAATACAAGCCCAAACGAAAAAATATAAACAAGTCTAAATTGAAAACAACGTTCAAACCTATGATTGCGTTGGATAAAAACCGCAATTTTTATACGTGTGCATGCAAAACAAATTTCTTGGTAGAGGGGTCTAAAAACAGCACAAACAACATTTTCCAAAAGACCAAATGAGTGAAAAGGTATATTTTAACAAAACGCATTTGACTAGCAGGTCGAACAACTGATGTTCTTTAACCCTGCTGACTGCCATATATATTCACATTATCATATGGCATTGACTTATATATATATTCCAAAGGTGTTTCAGTTTATAATGATTCACAACATATGAATACATGCACGTGAATATCAATTGCATATAAATCATTAAATGCATGCATATGTCACCTTGACTCACTCTGGATTTCCATTGAAATAAGAACAATAAGAAAATTTACGATATCTATATATAACCCATGGAATTTGAACTTTCCTTTTTAAAGAGAAAGCTATTGTCTTTTTGTTTTCCTGTGTGATGTCATGAGTGAATTTCCTGTTTAAAGAAAAAATATTGAATTTGATTGTTTCTTGTATGAAGTTATAAGTGTCACTTGAATTATTGTTGTTTCAAATGTCAAATGTAATTTATCAAAACAAAGTTAAAATTTAGATTGGAAGGAATGAGAAACGTGGATGTGATGGCAAAAACACATTCTAACCGTGATGGGAATCCTTGTTTACCAAAAACAGTTTCCGATGAGTACCAAACGTACGAGCCCTTAAAGCCAACTTACTTGGCAAGATCGAACGGCAGTTATGATACCCTGCAAAACGTTCAAAATGCTAACAAAAATCTTAAAAACAAGCTCAGTAGAAACAGAGAACAAGGGGATTTTAACATGGAGCTCAAAGAAATTTATGAAAGATTTACTAGTGAACGTTGTCTTAATCAAAACATTTATGATTCAACACATAAAGACACAGCATGTGTATCAGGGAATTTGGTGAATTCAACGCCGACATTGGGAATATGCTACGATCAAAATTATTCTTATTGTTATACTAACACATCAGAAGTTGAACAAGAAAATCATTACAGCGAATTACAAACAGACAATTCTGGCAGCTCTGACTTATATAAAATTGCCGATGGAAAGCAACTGAACTTAACTCATTGCACTATACCAAGAAAACATTTGACTAGCAATGATGAAAAGCAGACAACTATCGTAGGTCAGCGAGGAAAACGATGTGTGTGTTTTGTAATTGGTTTTCTTTTGGGAGGTGTCATAGCAGGTGTGGCTGTTTTTCTGTTGCTGGATTATAATTCTCAAGATCCCGAAAAGTACAACATTCAGGCACAGGGTATTTAGTCATTTTTTTATAGTATATGTATATGTGTTCTTCCTCTCCTATGTCAATTCTATGAACGGAATCAACTTTGTGTCAAACTTAATGCATCCTGTGTTTAAATGTGTTCAGATAAGATTTAATTATAAGGTTAAAATTATTGATATACAAAAAATAAACATCCATAAAGATGTAGTAGAATTTTGAAAAAACAACTAAAGATCGTCTGAGTTGAAAACAAACTAGGAAACAAAAGCAAATTATTGCAAAATGACTTTTAAAATTATGGAAAACCAGTCGATTAGATCAAGCACGTACAAAACTTAAAAAAAAAACCACCGCACTCCAACGAAAATTATAAAATTAAGGAAGTCCACAAATCTTAAATCCTGACAAAATCAAACGCTTGACTTTATAAAACGGAACTAATGGAAAACAACTGTCAAATTCCTGACTTTGTACAAACATTTTCCGAAAAAATGATGGGTTTAACCTGGTTTTACAACTATTTAAACATTTCACTACAGTACCCCAATTTTTAACATTTTTACCTATTATGTCTGTTTGTATTGCTCACACATTGTTGTCGATATAATGGAATCCAATGTGTAAAGGATTTGCTAAAGACTGTAAAATATTAGAGCTATAATAAAATTCAATGTTAACCAAAATTTTAAATAGCTTGTTTGCAAACTTCGATCTGATGTTTGCGCATGCAAAGGTATTGAGATTGACACCTATATACAATTGTTAGGAGGTGTAATAATTTAATAGAACAGGTCAAAACCTCATCATATGTATACAAGGCTTAAATTTTTGTACGACAGACGCGCGTTTTGTCTAACAAAGACTCATTAGTAACGCTCGAATGAAAAAAAAAATGTTAAAAATGCTTGATAAAGTACGAAGTTGAAGAGCATTGATGACCCAAAATTCCGATAGTTTTTGCCAATTAAAGCTAAGATTACCTATTCCAGGGTAGAAAAATCCTATGTATTTCGAACAATACAAAGTTTTGTAAACAGTTAATTTATAAGTTCATTTGATGGTAGGAACTACAAAAATTACAAACATTCAAATTTATATTACTAAAAATCAATGGCACTAAACACCCAACATACATGTATCAAATGATGGAACACATTGATAATGACTATACATGGTCACATCTACATTATTGGTCTTTAAATTCAAAACGTGCATGTATGTATATCCGTTTAATGGGTTTTACGGGTCAAAGGTTAGAAAGAAAACACAATTTCAAAATTAAAACATATTCATCACAAACACTTGTTTAAAATGCTCATTGTAATAAAAATCGAAAATCCATCATAGACTTTTATTATGAGAAACATGTATCATTGTAGTCTCAAATACCATATCGGAATGTGAATTGGACACATGGTCTTCTTGGACAGATTGCAGTGTTTCGTGTGGAAACGGTATACAATATAGAGAAATACAACAAAATGGAACATTACAGAGATGTAACCATAACGCTGATAATGATACAAGAACATGCACAAATAATCATTGCCAAGGTACATGTCGTTAGAATTTTTTTTATTGATTTTAATTCAATATACACATAACCAGCTATTAAAAAACCCGACAAAGCAGTTCACGAACTTTTGTATACAAACTCTATTCGAGACAGTAATGATAATTAAGGCGATATTTTAGGTCAGAAAGCAGCCACCTCTCGCCCAGTATGGAATTTACTGACCCCGTATATATCGCATTAGATAAAAGGACACTGTTTAACTAATAATATGTTAATAAATGGATTAATAAATAAAATGGAATTTACTTACCCCGTTTATATCACATTAGATCACAAGGACACTGTTTAACTAATAATATGTTAATAAATGGATTAATAAATAAAATGGAATTAACTTACCCCGTTTATATCGCATTAGATCACAAGGACACTGTTTAACTAATAATATTTTGCCAAATAATAATTTAGTCTTATAACCACTATCATGAAAAGCAGGAATGTTGCAATGATCGTAGCATTTTTCAAACATTTGATCAGAATTGACTTGCTACAATTAACATAATTTAAAAAAGCAATAGCAATATATTACACAAAATATTAACGAGCTGTTACTAGTTATACAAACATTATACAAATAATAACGGTAGTAATATCACTTCTTAACATCAGTTTCATATCTAATAATGTTACTGATAAAAATGTTTATGAGTTTTTTGACAAAATAATGTATGTTTTAATACTATCACGAAACAGATCCAAATAAGTTTATGTATTTTAAAGCAATTACGCAATGTTAACTTTTCGAATCCTTCAGTTGGCACTTCGAGCTCCTTTTAGCTTGCTCATTTCGAGAGAAAGACGTTTGATCCTCGGACTATGAAGTTAAAGTCTGTACAATTGTCATTTTAATATTTTTCTTTCATTTCCTTCTCCGGTCAGTTACCAACTTTTCTAGAAGCGTTCAGAATTAAACGCAGGTACTAATTGGCTCTAAGAAGTATCTATACAAGAAGGGAGACGTTTTTGACTGCTGACTGTATCGATTTAAGCCAACATTTTATTACAAATATATAAAAAGAATGTTGACCTACTGAAAAACTATGCTTCGTTATATCCATAAATTCTAGATTTTTTATATAAACCAAATGCAAGGTATACTGGTTGTTTTTCAGAGTCGATTCAGTATTATCTTTTAAAGTGTGGACCTGTGGCATTAGATTTAATAAAAACCAACAGTGTTAGTTATTAAATTTTTATTTTTCAAATTACTTGAAACCACGCGTACAATATGCAACCTGTAGTTATATACATCTTTATAATATTATTTCTGATAGGAAACTAAATTGATAGAAGTTGTATTTCATACGTTCTTATAGAACTAATGCCTTATATCAAGTATATAAAAAATGAATAATAAATGCTTAAAAGATAATTTAACAAATTTGAATGTATCATTTCTGTTCTAGGTAGAAGAGAATTGTTAGACATGAGATTCGACCCATTTACTCTTAATGCTAACCGGTATTTATCGAGAGACAATTCAATTCTGAGCAGCCAGAGGTCCAATCAAACAGCCATAGGATCCCCTGGTAGTGGGGCACTGCAAAAGTATAGTGGAGTCATCGCAGACCAGTGTTTCGGAAACAGAAAGAAAATATATTACCGTGTTTTATATAGCTATACTTTGAAAACTGTTTTGTCTTACACTAATCTTATTTTAGAAGTAGGTCTTTCGCAGCGTGACGAAATTGATCAGTCTGATTTTGTTGGAAATGTACAGAAAAGGGGTTGGTCATTTGCTCTTGCAAGATGCGGAACTTCAAACAATATTTGTTTGAGGGCAAAACATCTAAGAACATTAAAAATTAACGATTTGTTTAGTGGCAACAGTGTAGGTTTGCAGAAAAATGGTACATTTGAGTTACTTTTAGACAGACAGAACAATAAGTTTTCGTTGAAAATTTCAAATACACAAAAACCTGTTATTTCATTTGAAAATGTTGCCTCGAGCAAAGAACTTTGTCCCGTATTCGGAGTTCATAATATACAAAAAGTTAATGTTCAACTGAAGATCTTGGAGAGTAGAGATGTTACACAAGAATCGTTTGAATTATAAAAAACAATTTTTTATCTGTTTGTTGTTGTAGAAAATGAAATAAAAAATAAAGAACCATTCAAGATAGATGAAAAGATCAATAGACAGATAATTATATTTATATAGACATACATGTATATAGATGAATATATAAATAGATAACTAATATAAAATCCATTGATATTTCGTTGAAATTTCATTTCCTTATTGAGCACTATTCCAGACAACGTACATGTATTTGGTTTGATATTTTATATATTTTAACGTCATGTTGCAGAATAGAAAATTGATAAAGGTGTCATCCAGTATCTATTAAACCCCCATCTTCAAGGTTTCAATTTGAAGTGAGATATTGATATATAAAAATTGATTGTGAGAACTAAACAAAAATAGACTGTATATATAAAATAAGAAGATATGGAATGATTGTCATTGAGACAACTCTTCACCAGAGACCAAATGATATAGAAGTTAACAACTATAGTGCACCGTAAGCCTTTCAGCAAAAAGCAAAACGCAAACCGCATAGTAAGCTATAATAGGCTTCGAAGTGACAAATGTACAACAATTCAAATGTGAAAACGTACGGCCCGATTTATATAGAAAACAATACACGAAAGAATAATATATACAGCAACAAACGACAAGCAATTAATCATATGCTTCTGTCTTGAGACAGGCTCATACAGAATGACCCGTTTTGATAATTTGTTTAAATTTATGAAAGTCCCTTAATGTTGCTGCTTCCGTTTTAGATGTGCTGTTTTGTGCCTTTAGTGTATATTGCTAAAGTAAGCATGAAAGGTTTAAACAATTAAAACTTCATTATCCATCTCTGTATGAACGCTGTATGGTATGGATTCTTGTCAATATTGTCACATAGTATCTTATGTTTTTAGAACTTTTGAAAAATAGCCCTAAAAACTTGTGACCTTTGGATAACATTAACAGTGCAAAATTTGCTGCACCAGATACGCATTTCAACAATAAATGTCTTTTCAGTGATGCTCGAGGTCAAAATTTAAAAAATCCTAATTTTATGAAGAAACGAAGTGCTTAAAAACCATAAAGGACCAAAAATGTAGCCAAAGCCGGGCAAGGAATAAGAAATTTGCATGAGCGAGATATATTATTTATTTTAAAATAATTTCAAATATTTTGTAACAACAAATTTTTAATAACACAATATCAAATTTTCATGCCAGTACCGGAGAACTGACTACTGGGCTGGTGATATCCTCGGGGGCTAGCATGAAAGAGGGATAACAGAAATACTGTGATAATAATTACTCGTGTAAAAGTACAAAAAGAGAAGCGAAAGATACCAAAGGGACATTCACACTCGCAAGTCGAAAATAAACTGACAACGCCATGGCTAAAAAAAAGAAAACAAACAAAGGTTCATAAAACACAATATAGAAAACCAAATACTGAGCAACACACACAAACCCCACCTAAACCTGGGGGTGATCGCAGGTGCTCCGAAAGGGTAAACCGATCCTGCTCTAAATGTTTCATCCTACATGTTGCTCATGTTAGTACAAAACCGGTGATAAATGTAATTCTGTGGGTCACATTCGGGGAAAAATGGACGGAATTGTAGTGACGACAATCGGAATATATCCGTTGTCATCTGTGAAACGTATATTCCATTACGGTCAACCAACTCGTGATCATATGGCGTCCATAAAATTTACGAAGGGACGATTTCAACTTCACCACTTAAAACTCTTCGTTTAATAGCTTCCTTGTGAGCAGCAAAACCTCTATCAAGGAAATCATGATAGGAAATACAAGCCCTGGAATATCGTATCAATTGGGAGATATATACTCCGTATGCAGGCGCTGTTGGAATGTTACTACATAGAAATAGGAAGTTCACAGTTGGGAAGCTGAAATCATCTGTTGTGTCGTGAAGTTTTGTTTTCAACCGACCATCATTGTCAATTTTTAGATGTAAGGCAAGATATGAGGCCACATTTAATGGGATATATGCGTTCAACATAGTCACAAAATTTTGAATTATTTAGTGAGAGGACATCATCTATATAGCGAAAAGGGAGGTTAAAGAATAATGTAAACTTCTTTTCTTTCTTCTTAAGAAGTTTCTGCATGAAATCAGCCCCATATGAATAAGGAACAAGTCGACAAGAAGAGGAGCACAGTTGGTTCCCATTGGAATACCGATTCTTTGTTGAAAAAAAACGTTCTCCAAACGTGGCAGGCAAATATGTTGTCAATCAACAAATCCAGCATCTTGATAATGTCAGTTTCAGAGAATTTTTTGTTTGAATCAGAGTGATTTTATACAAAGTACGATTTATCCCTCCCTAAGACTAGAAACTTGTATCTACGTAGGCCATTCTTCTTTATGAAAGCAAGTATGACCAACTCTTTCAACTTGTCTTTTAGTTTGAAATAGGGAACTCTTTATACAAGATGGTTTTAATATTCTTCAAGAGGAAAGAGTCTTAGATTGTATGTACTCTAAAAGATCTTTGGATTTTTTTAATATCCACATCTGATTCACGCCATCTCTAAAATAGGTAGTTGCACAATAACTTTGAAGCCCGGATTTGATTGCTGATAAAATTGATGTTAATAATTTAGAAAGAGGTTTCGTATAGCACTTGGAAGACCCAGCATTATAACGTTGTTTGTAAGGACACTTATGTAGTTTAGGTATCCAGTACAGTAAAAGAAGAACTAGTTCTTCATCTTTTGTTGAAATTCTAACTTAACATTAAACTTGTAAAATTTAACGGACTAAAACAGACGACAAACGTCAAGTGATATCAAAAGCTCACACGAATGATTTTTACCTGCAAGTTTTTCTTATTAGTATTGATAGTTTAAATCCAAATATCAACTTTGATAGTCATTACTACATAAAGATGTTGTGAAGTAGCATATTAGAACCGTATATATTCATGTTATGGTTATTTTTTGTCACAACAGAATATCTACAAATTTTGTTTCGATTTGTTTCCCTTTTGACGAAGAGAGATATTACATGTATCACGCTTCTTCTTCTTCTTCTTCTTCTTCTTCTTCTTCTTCTTCTTCTTCTTCTTCTTCTTCTTCTTCTTCTTCTTCTTCTTCTTCTTATAAGGAACATTTTAATTTTCCCCAAACAACAAAAGCATACGTAATTGTCCGAAAAGTTACAGAACAGTGCTGAATTGACTGCAAGCGAATTGTCTGACCAGTACTGAATTTATCGCCGTGGAATAGTCTGAAAATTGACTGAAAGACTGACTACTAAATTATTTTTTATCCAGACTTGTCAGATGATGTTAAAATCATAATGACCGTCTCATGCTAAAATTCTTTTACTAGAGGTAGAGCAGTTGAATCTTGTTCTTAGGAAAACCAGTCAGGATCAGTTTACGGCTAACATGTCCAGTTAACTGTCAGGACCAGTTTATGGGTAAAATGATTCAAAAGGGCGTAAGTTAGAACAACTTTTTGAATGTGATTTAGATACCCTTAGGATCATTCAGCTAAAGTTTGGTTGCAATTGGTTCAGTAGTTTCAGAGGAGAAGATTTTTTAAAGTTAAAAAACATGATAAACAAATTGTGTAAAATTGTCCTCAAAGGGCAATACTCCTTAAGGGGTCAATTGACAATTAATGTCATATAAACTTACTTGTAGATCTTACTTTGCTGAACATATTTGCTGTTCACAGTTTATCTTTATCATTAATAATATTCAAGATATAACCAAAAACTGCAAAATTTCCTTAAAATTACCAATTTAGTGGCAGCAACCCAACAATGGGTTATTAGATTCATCTGAAAATTTCAGGGCTGATAGAACTTCACCTAATGAACACTTATACCCCTTGTCAGATTTGTTCTAACTGATTTGGTTTTTGAGATATAAGCCAAAAACTGCATTTTACCCCTATGTTCTATTTTTAGCCTTGGCGGCCATGGTTTTTGACGAAACAAAAAATAAAACACAAACTTGATTTTAGATACCTTAAGGATCATACAGCTTAAGTTTGGTTGGAATTGGTTCAGTAGTTTCAGAGGAGAAGATGTTTGAAATAGTTTACACCAGACGGACGACGACGACGGACGACGACGACGACGACGGACGACGACGGACGCCAAGTGATGGGTCAAGCTCACAGTTCCTTCGAAACGATAAGCTAAAAATAAGGGTATAAATCTATTGTAGGCAAACGCAATAAGACGTTGTACGTGATGCCGTGAAAAGGATAGAGATTATACTCCCATTCTTAATTCAAAGTATTGAAAAACATGAAGAAACTGTCTAACAGATATAAAAAAAGCTCTTACATGATACTGCTCATCATTGTCGACTTGCTGACAAAATATAAATTAAATATGTTCAGTTCTTCATAAAAGCTGAAGTACTTGTCTGACTATCGAATGAATAAATATAATGACTAAAGAACAAACGGATGGACAAGTTGATTGCAATATAGCATGTATAGACTCCAGTTGTTAGCGGTTGTTTAAACGAGATTGTGTTTTTTCCTGAACTGTTTAATAAGATGTACTAAAGTTCAGTCACCGATATTATGAGTATAAATATTATGAAGATTCTATGTTACGGTCACATTTTCATAATAGTGTTTTTCTCCTGAAATGTGTATTTTTTTTGCTATAGTTACCAGTAAAATAAAGTTATATGACAGTTGTTTTCCATTCGTTTGATGTGTTTGAGCTTTTATTTTTGCCATTTTATAAGGGACTTTCCGATTTGAATTTTCCTTGGAGTTTGGTAGTTTTGTTATTTTACTTTTTACTAACCATACAAATGGTACAGTAAGGGTTATACTCATTGTTGAAGGTCTACGGTGACCTGTAATTATTCTCATCTTGTTACTTTTGAATTGTACATGGATAGTTGTCTAATCGGCAATTATGTTGCTTATCCTTATTTAAATTTACCTTACTTTTCCTGTACAGATGTTTTAATATTTTTATAAAACTTTTTTATATATACCCGCGACTCTTTGTCGGAGGGTGGCATGTAAATATTTTAGGATTAAACACATTTTTTCTAGAGGTTATTGATGCGTAAACTGAGACGATTAACTCATCAACTGAATAAAAGTCCAAAGGAATTTTATGTAAAGTTTGTGAGTTAATCGCCCCAGTTTGCATATAAATAAACTCTAGAAAAAATGTGTTTAATCCGAAAATGAAACAACCCCTACCTCAAAAACTCATGTTTAATGAGATAATATCCGAAATTGAAGCGTACAAGTAACGGCATAACCATCAGCTTGAGAGTTCTCATTAACATGACGTCATGTTTTGCCTCGACGTTAATGTGCCAAGATCATTCATGAAATTTCGCGGAATTTTATTCAATCATGAATTCATACGTTTTTCCAAACCCTTCTGCATTATTTCTATTTGTAATGGATTTGGACAAGAATAACAATTCTGTAGTGTTGTTGTTTAAATATTTTAATTTCGTAGAACTCAAGGATCCAATGCATTTGTATTTCGCATGATGGGTACCGAAAGTGGTTTCGGCAAGATCGTAAATCGAATTGTAAACCAAGAAAAAAATTCTAACGGACCAATGCTATTTAAGTATTTGAAGATATGCAAATCATATAAGAATTATACAACTGTTATTTCGTTCATTTGAATTCGTTAGTCCTTTCACCTAGCTTATATGGTAATGAAATAAAGAAAATTCTATAGGTACTTCAACTAAATACAAAAGATAATAAAAATCTGAACAAATCCACAAAAGAATAATAGGAACAAGGTAAATATGCTGATCTAAAATGTTGACGTTACAGGTCACTGTCAAATGTTGTTGAAAACAGTTTAAATGTCTGATTGAAATAAGGACAAAGTTACGCCTAAGAATCACCTGTCAAACTCTTCTCGCAGTTCACAAGATAGATCCATTTTAATTTTAGAGGGACAAATTATATAAAAAAGATTTGAATTTAGTTTAAGTTTCGACTTTTTTCAAAATATTGATTTATGAAATTACTAGTTGTTTTCCTTGTAAAACTTAAATAATTCCACAAAAGGGTATAATGTGTCTGTAAGAACCTTTGCGGGACGATTAGTTATTTGGCACCTGGCAATTTTAATTTTGGGTCACAATAAGATTTCGAAAAATTTCTAATTAATTGTTCAATTTTGGCATATTCTTTTTTGATATTTCAGTCAACTAGTTTGGGAATCAAATGAATCAGTCAAGATTTAAAGCAAGTTAATCCCCCCCCCTTCTCCATCCCAAAAAAACCAATATCTATACCGTCACATACTTGTGCCTATCCAAATCCAAGAGCATCGTCAGCTGGTTTTTTTTTGTCGTATATTATTCTTTTTACGGAATTATATAAGTTATAATGACAGATTTGTCAGATATTTTCTGTAATCTGACTTTTCTTTTTTACTGTTAGATACTGTGTGGTTTTCATGTTGTTTGTAGTACCGTTATAACATCAAAATTGTGTGAGAAACCCACACAGGCCTAATAGGGTAATGTGACAGAATTAGGATTTAGCAGCCAAAACTGTGTAAACATACATCACACTAGTCTTTATATTAATGAACAAAACAGTGTGTGTTAGATACTTGACTCTTGTATAGATACTTTATTTATGTGTGCTCTATACTTTTTATAATCATATTCTAAGTTAAAACTCAATCACAGACGAGTCACTACAGTTTTCTGGTTTTCAGAAAGTTTTAACATTTTTGCAGAAATTTATTTATGTACCCTCCATATTTCTTATACTCATATTCAAGATTTAAACACAATCACAGACGAGTCTCTTATTAGAGTTTATCTTATTTTCACAAAGTTTTAACATTTAGGCGATGTTTTAAAAGTATACATACAAGAGACAAGTATTCAAATATCTATTTTGTTGTACACGCTTATGACAAGTTTAATGTGAAGTGGATAGTTCTTCCTGGTACTAAAACAGTAATTGGAAATAGTCAACCCAACTTGAACCATGACAGGTACATCGTAAATTAATCATTAAATTGTATTTGAAGTTGATTTTGATAGTGATAATTATAGCTGCGCGCGTCATTATACCGTATCCTTGTTTCTTTGAATAAATGAGATCGAAATTTGAGTCAGACTTTTCTGACTAATTAAAGTACGATGTACAGTTCCATTAAGCACATACCGTCATAATTCCTGACAAACCACTTTGATCCAGAGAAGAACGGTCTTTGACGATGTGTCCTAAAATTTCGTGCGAAGTAGCTAGAGAAGCTAGATATACTATTTTAAAGTACTACGATATTTAATGTTTTCTCTCAATGAAAGTAATGACCTTTTTACAACTTTTTTTATATAATAAGTATAACTATTTAGATCTGAGCGTCACTGATGAGTCTTATGAAGACGAAACGCGCGTCTGGCGTATTGAATTATAATCCTGGTACCTTTGTTAACGTTTTACACCACTGGGTCGATGCCACTGTTGGTGGACGTTTCGTCCCCGAGGGTATCACCAGCCCAATAGTCAGCACTTCGGTGTTGAAACTAATATCAATTATATGGTCATTTTAGTAAATTTCCTTTTAAATTTTTCGTAAAACTAAGGATTTTCTTATCCAAGGAATAGATTACCTTAGCCGTATTTGGCACAACTCTTTGGAATTTTGGGTCCTCAATGCTCTTCAACTTTGTACTTGTTTGGCTTTATAACTATTTAGATCTGAGCGTCACTGATGAGTCTTATGAAGACGAAATGCGCGTCTGGCGTATTGAATTATAATCCTGGTACCTTTGATAACTAATTATATCTAACTTTTCAAAGACTTAGATTTCAACTCACCCCAGGTAAAGCTGACTTAGTTGAATGAATTTGGTATCATTGTATGTGTTTTTGGTCACAAAGCTCTTCAACTGTTTCGATTATTATACATCCTTGACTTTCAAATATTCGGCTTTAAGCTTTCTTGATGAAGTTAAATCAAGACAAGCACTTCGAACGCTGAAATTTATAAAGAGTTGTTTTCATTTTTTCAACTCAATCATTTTTCTCTCAAGAGATGTCTTTGCTCCTCCCAATCGGTTAACGAATTTAAAACATCGGTAAACTTTTGTCGCCTTACTTTGGTAGACAACAACAAAGTGGTGTTTTAATGTGATGTTTTATATGCATTTCAACGTGATATGAATGATTATATATGTACTTTAAGAACTGATAAGGCAAAATAAAAAAGGAGAACTCTTAAGGCAAAATAAATAAAAAGGATCATTACAACTTATGTTTTAAAGTTTCCCTTGATCTGAGATAATATTCTGTAAAATATAATGTCACCTGCGTCTCGCGAAATCGGCTTATCAAGAGGTAATGTTAACAGTCATGAATGGCAATTTTATATATTTCTTTGACACTTCATTTGCAGTATCTGTCTCGAATATCACATATTATGGATAAAACACTGTTTCAAGTATTTTCGAGTTAGCAATGTCCATTTTTTCGCACTTTCGCTTGTTAAATAAAGTAGCTTTCCCGTTTGTCGTCACGTTCCATGTGTCAAAATCAATGTTTATTCTGCAAGCCATATTCCTTGTTCCTTGTCAATCAAACTATCCAGCTTCTTGTTCATCTTCAATTGTCGTTATATTAGCAGGAACAACAGAGTTCTTGATGAAGGTAAACCCAGAAATGCACCTGGGACGTATGCAATTTATTATGTGTTATTTATATTTTTAAAATGTTTAATCAAAAACGAATGTCAACTTTTACTCATTGCTAAAATCATATCCAGTTCTATTTATTTAACGTAAGTACAATGTATATCATATTATCTATAGAATGATTGTATAAAATCTGAGCCTAAAACATAGGCATGGCAAAATGTGTAGCTCCAAGGAGTTCTTTACGGACAGACATGAATTTACTGCATATGTCAATTAATTTATTGATGATCGAAATATTTATGAATTTTGTATGCTTTCAAATCATCGTTTGGTAATTTGAAGACGTTAACTGTTTCATTAAAGCAAAGGTTCGATAACTGTTTTAATTACCTTTTGGAAACTTTCATGCGAAGAGATATATAATCAACTTTCATATATATGTATATATAGGAGCAGGGGCTCGAATCCTTTCCTATTGTCTTTTTTATACCAAATATAGTTAAAATTTCTATTTAGTGAAGAGTCAATTTAATTCACGTAGCTTTTCCTCAAAATATGGGGCTCGTCTAGGGTTGGAAAACATTTGCTTTGTGTACAAATTTAATAGTTACATTGTAGCTATCTTTAGCTGCAGTATAAAACACAATATTAAATCAATGCCAGAAAAAAACAAACTGTTTGTAATCAGCACGAAACTGTCATGGCATTGTAAAGCTCGCCCTTCCTAAAGCTTAAGCCTCATATAAAACAAATCATATTTTTCTGTCATAGACTTGATATTGTATATGTACAGATATGTAAAGTTATTTTAACGTCCCACGATTCACACCAATTAAATACATGTACTTGTAGATACATTTACCAAGAATTATGTTTAATGGGAAAATGCGTCATCTTGATTTTCATAGTGTAAATATTAAAATAGTTCACGTTCTCTGTATGTAAAGAAAAAACCCAAGGAAAATACCAATTGAAATATCCTATTTAAAACATTTAGAAGAAAATCTACTTTGTTTAAAATAAAACTACTTTATCTGTTCCTGTGTAATGTTATAGGTGTCAGTTTGAGTAAATGTTGGTTGATGTATCAAACAGTTATTTATTAAAACTTAAATTTGCGATTGGAAGGGAAGAGAAACATTGATATGATGGCCAAATCATATTCTAATCATGATTGGAATACTTCAACAAAAACCGGTTTTGATGAAAATCAAACGTATGAACCGTTGAAGCCGCAGCACTTTGAAACATCGAATTACAGGTATGATACCTTGCAAAACATTCAAAATGCAGAACAAATTTATAAAAACTCGACTAATAGAAACAGGGAACAAGATGATTGTATGATGGAGCAGAAACAAACTTATCAAAGCTTGACTATTGAACGTGGACTTACTCAGAACATATATGATTCCACACAGTGTCAGGGCGACGCAGAATACATGTATGTGTCAGAAAATTGTGTGAATTCAGGACCAACATCAAGAAGCTACAATCATAATACTTATTGTGATGCTTATCATATTACAGATGTTAAGCAAGATGATTATTATAGCGAACTGCAAACCCAGACTTCTTGTGATTCTAAATTATATGAGAGTGTAGATGAGAAGCAACTGAATCTCACTCAAAGCATTTTAACCCGTAAAAATGCCGCTAGCAGTTGCAAAAATCCGACAATTTCCGATAGTCAGCGAGGAAAACGGTTGGCATGTGTTTTCTTTGTTCTTCTTCTTGTAAGTGCCATAGCGGTTGCAGCTGCTTTTTTGTTGACGAAGATCAATACTGAGGATCCAGACAGGCAAAACATTACGGAGAAGGGTATTTGTTCTTTTTGATAATATATCTGTTTACCACTAAAATATTAGTTGCATACTCGTTTTTTTTATTAATTAGTTCATACTGAATTGAATCAGGATTTGGTAAGTTTCTAACATATGGTATCATAGTTTGAACTTGATTAGGAACAATTTGCTTAAAAATTTGTAATTTCTCTTTCGGATCGCGTAAAACGCGTCAAAATCATTAACGCATAAATTTAACTCCACAGAGAAGCAGCCAATACTATTTGAAGTGTATTGTTTAACTAAGTCGGTGATCGAACCAAGACGTTCAGGCCTCGCAGTGAGCACGCTACCGCTAGTATCTCAACCAGGGATTATAAGGATTGTTTAAAATAGATTTATTCCCCAGAATAGCAGCTGTAGTTAGACTTGATTTCTAGGATACCTTAACGTTAGGTTAATTCTGTTATTCTTCATTGTTTAAAGCATACATGTATGATTAAATGGTCACTTATCACTATCAGTATTCTACTAGTAGATATTCATGATGATTCATTGTCATGTACATGATCGATATTACATAACCTGGCTGCATTATTACATGGGATCTGTAGAAAAGTCAAGAATCTTAATAATTAACAAGATATAGGATATACCCTGACACTAGACATAAATGAGGCAGGAAGATAAATTGAGATTTCCTTGACATTCATAAACTTGTCAATTATATCATTGTATATGATCGGAAACGACTTTGTGTCAAACTTAGTTATGAACATTTAATTGTTCTTTTTGTGTGTTCGGGTGAGATAATATTTTTCCAGTTAAGGCAAGTGACATGTTAAAGAGCAAAAATTGAAAAAGGCATAGTAGTGTTATTTTAAAGACATTTCAAGATCTGAATTCGAATCGAGCAAACAAATAAGAAATGAATGTAAATAAACTCAAATATACAAATTTTAAAAGTCTGTACAACAGACGCGCATTTCAAAAGACCCATCAGTGACGCTAGAATCAAGTTAACAGGCCAAAATAACGAACGAAATCAAAGAGCAAATTATGACAACATGAGTTAAGAATATTTAATGGTCGGCTCTAAAAATATTTTATCAACAGTCGACAGTAATTATGCTGGATTATTGAAACTTTGAATAAGTGATTAAGAATTTTGCTTATCAATGAAACAGTACGTTTAAAAAAGTACGATATTATAAATCGACATTATTCAAAAGGAGTTTTTTGTGATTAAGGACACATTGGATATTTATGAAAATAATAATTGATATTTTCTGGAAATATATTTTTTGAAATGTATATTATAAAACACATACATATGTAGTCGGGTGATGAAAAAGTTGGAATTCGATATATAGGAGCTATATTGACGACATTTAAAATAAAATAAGCACATGTAAAACATGACGATAATACCTATCAGAATCGTATGCACTCCAAGCAAGTTTCGCGTTTTACAAAAGGTTGTATGACTTGTCACTTCACTAAAGTCTTATACCCTATCCAACTATAAACATATTACTGGTCATTCAGTGTAACTCGTAAGAACTTAATTGAAACGTACGCCAGATACACTGACAGTACAATACTTTTGTATTTTGTATTAGACGGAATCGAGCATGCACATCGCAAACAAAAATTTAATGAAGTTACTATACGTCAGTATTCTTTATTTAATTTCTGTTCATTTAAAGTAGAGGGTAAATAATGCACAAACATCAAAAATCAATAGCACTAATAGTAAGCCCTAAATATATATGTATCAAATGATGGACCACACTAATAATGACTTTCCTACTTCTAATTGTAGTGTTGAATAACACATCAGTATGTGAGTGGGCCACATGGTCTTCCTGGACAGAATGCAGTGTTTCATGTGGAAATGGTACACACTATAGAGAAAGACACCAAGATGGAAAACTACTAACATGTAATGGTAAAGCTGAAAATGACACAAGAACGTGCACTTATAAATTGTGCCAAGGTACATGTAGTTAACATGATTAACTTGCTTCATTAGAAATAATTTATTGCAATTCGTTTTTAACGACAAATCGTATTGGTCATCTTCATATATTTTGAGGGTGTTTATTTCACAGTCTCCCGGTTTCGAATTAAGGTAAGACGCCATTCGAATTCCGAAATTTATAGGTATTTGATTTTTTTCAACATAAACCAATTAGTCACATTTTCCATTTTATTTTGAATCTGTTGATTAGTTGTCTCCTGTCCAATCATACCACATGTACATCTCCTTATTAGATATAAACATACAAAAACATAAAATTCGTTTCGTTCGTAAGTGCATTGCCCCAGTTTACTCATCAATTACCTCTAGACAAAATGTGGTTTAAGTTGGAACTATATATATAGGAGCTATATTGACGACATTTAATATAATATTAGTCCATTGAAAACATGACGTTTATGCCTATCACATGCACTCAAAACATGGCCTGCTTTTCATATATGTAAATATTCATGTATCAAATGATGGATTACACTTATAATGACTTTCCTACTCCTTACTTTAGTGTTCAATAAGCGAATAGCTAATAGTAAGCCCTAAATATATATGTATCAAATGATGGACCACACTAATAATGACTTTCCTACTTCTAATTGTAGTGTTGAATAACACATCAGTATGCGAGTGGGACACATGGTCTTCCTGGACAGAATGCAGTGTTTTATGTGGAATTGGTACACAATATAGAGAAAGACAACAAAATAGAAGAATACAAACATGTAATGGTAAAGCTGATAATGACACAAGAACATGCACTAGTAAACATTGCCAAGGTACATGTAAAATTCAACATGCTTAAGTTGTTTCATTATAAATAATCTAAGGCGATTAGTGTTTAACGATACATTTTATTGATCGTATACATATATATTGAGGGTGTTTATTTTACAGTTTGTGTACAGTCTGTCTGTCACGAAGGCAAGCCGCCATTTGAATTCTGAAATTTTTGGGTATGTGATTACCTTCAAAATTAACCAAGGAGTCACTTTTTACATGAAAAACAACTTTTGTTAATATTTATATCATGTAGACCAAAACCTAAAAATGTCTGGAGTTTACGTTTTATGCCGAGAGTGTTCCTATGACGTCACAATAATTAGAAAGTTTGGAGGATTTTTTTATTTATGACAATTTGAAGCCAAAAAAATTAAATGGAACGTTTCGTCGAAGTTGCATTAGCTCAATTACTGGAGATAATCGTATTGCATTGCAAGCTTGGCCTACGTAAAACATGGTTTTACTGTCGCAAATAACAGTTTATCCATCTCCGCTACGCGTCGTTAGGTTAACTCAATTTGCGACAGAGTTTTACGAAGGCCAAGCTTAAAATAAAATACAGGTATCTCATAAATAATAAGGCATACATATAAATAAACCTGACAAAAAGATTTCCATACTATCATATACAGCTTTTTCGAGATAGTGATGTGAATTAAAGGGACATTTTTGAAAGGTAAACAGCCTGCATGATGGTTGAATGTTGATTGCATTGTTAACATTCAATATCTCACTCATATTCATTATAATAGAACACACGGAATAAATTGCAGATATGTTTGTTTGTCATTAAATATGAAAAGCATATATTTGGCAAATTGGAAACCAATTCTTATAAACACTTTTATAAAAAGGTAGATAGGAAATATATCCTGAACTGTTACTTTTCGAACGGTTGTTAATCATGATCTTTAAGATGCAAAGAACATGACATTCTTCAAACACTTGGACGGTACTTAACGTTTATTCACTTGCAACAATCTAAACCAGTTATGCAAAAACATAAGCATTTGCGCACCACTCTTTTACGATTTGGCTATACTGAAGGTTCTTTTTTGATTTGATCAGCTCCTTGACGTGTGTATATTTCAAAATTTTGAACATGTTGGCCTCTTGTATCACTGAAGAGACATTAATTGTCGAAATACAAATCTGGTGCAGTAAAATTGGTATTGTTTATGTTTTTACTAAAACTTGGTCAATACCTCTGCTGTGGACTGTTAGTCCCCAAGGTTATCACTAGCCAGCTAGCAAGTACTGCAGTATTCGCATTAGAAAACGGATACCCTTTGATTGAAATTACCGTTATAAATTTTGGAAACTACCTTAAGAATTATATTTTCTTTATTCAAAGCTCTGATTTCTTGTTCAAAATTAGCTATACTGCAGTCCTTTTGTTTTCGTTTGATCAGCTCTTCGATAATTGTATTAGGTTTTGGAATTTTTTAAATATTTTAGCCTCCAGCATCACTGAATATTCATTATTTGTTAAAATACGCATCTGCTGCAATAAAAATGGTACAGTAAATGGTAATTTTACCACAGGATCGATACTTCTACTAATGGACTGTGAGTTCCCAATTGTATAACCATCCCAATAGCAAGTACCTCGGTACTGACAAGAAATTAAGGATATAGTTTGATTAAAGTTTCCTGTTTTAAAATTTGGAAGTTATATTAAATTAAGGAATATATCTCACTTCTCTGATTCCTTGACCGGATTTGGCTATAGGTTATGTCCTTTTTTGTTTGTATCTTTTTTCATTTGTATTAGGTTTTGGAATTTTGAATATTTTGGCCTCAATCGTCACTGACGAGTCAAAATGTTCATCTTGTTCAGTAAAACAGGTACCGTTAATGTTATGACAAGAATTGCACATAATTTTTAGCAGCAATAAAACTGTAATTAGCAATGATTAGTTTATGATTTTAATAATTGTTTTATCAATCAAATGCAAAATCTTCATGTATCAAAAACATTTACAGAAAAATTATTTTTTCAAACTAATTTTGACAGTCATGTTTGGGTCATTTTGGTTTTTCCATGTTTCATAAATGTTTATTTTGTAAATTAATACCCACACATTAGATATTTTCTTAAACTGTAATAATCAATAATATATCAGTATGTGAGAGGGACACAAGAACCGTTGCTAGATATATGGTTAATCAAGAAATGCATGTCAAGGGCAGCACAAATCGGACGTATGGCAGTTATGTTGCTCACACAATTTGCACAAAACTGTTCGCTGTAAGTTGCCATCAAGGAAGATAATAGACGTCATCTCGTCCTAATGGCCCTGAGCATTTCGTACTTATAAAACTGATCATTTTTCTATGAATATTAATCGTTTATTGATTAACCTTATTTTCTAAAAGTATTATCAATGGAAAACCGGTTAGTAGATCACTTCTCAACATCCGGTTTATGTTTCTTATTTTGTTATTACAGATATAGATGTTTGTGTATAGTAAATGTATAGGTTAATTATATATATATAGTATATATATATATATATATATATTTATATCGATAAGTACGTCTTAACAAGTGACAACTCTACGACAGATCCATCTATTGGATCACCAGTGAAGGTGATACATGGCTGAAAACACATATTATATTCATAATTACTCTAAATATCAGCACAACAATGTTAAATCTGCAAATTTGCGGAAGCAAATGTTTGTTCTTCCCTCGCCGGGATTCGAACTCATGCTATTGGGATATGTCTCGATATCCCAATAGCATGAGTTCGAATCCCGGCGAGGGAAGAACAAAAATTTGACTTCGCAAATTTACAGATTTAACATTGTTGTGCTGATATATATTATTATGTATATAATGTCTAAAAATAGCAAAATAACATTCAATCTCTCTAGGCGTTGATCAGTTTGAAAATAAACTGATGCAATTACTAAATTAAATTATATAAAATGCCTAAGAATATAAATTTAACACGCTAATGAGTGTTATGAAAATAGTTGTATCTGAGTTTACCTGGATGGCTGCACGCGCGTGATGACGCTAATTTGTTTAGCGAAATATTGCGTGAATATATAAAATATAACAACTATTAGCGTGTTAGAGTTACATTCTTAGGCATTTATATATAACCACGAAAAGATAACAATTCAATTTATGCATGTTCAAGAAATTGCGTAATATAATTTTTCCAATGCCTCGTTCATGTCACTTAGGCGTCTCGTTACTTTTGTAAAGTTCTCAAATTAGTACCCACACTTTAAAGTCGATCTCGATTAATATCATATATTGGTCGGCTTTGAAAAAATGTAAAATAACAAAAATGCCGAACTCCAAGAAAACTCAAATCTGAAAGTCCTATATCAAATGGCACAATCAAAAGCTCAAACACATCAAACGAATGGAAAACCACTGTCAAAGTCCTGACTTGGTACAAAACGATGATTCCTTGCCGACTGTTGACTGTGGAGCTAACAGGCTAATATTCAAAATCAGTATGTCGGTCTCTTGTAAAGCAGTACTTTGTCCCAGATATAAGTTTTTGCAAATGTTATTCAAATGTAATTACTGCCGATTGGTGTTCAGAATCTATCCAAAATAATTTACAGTTTCGTAAACAGTGGTTTAAGAGTTGAGAACAATAAGTGTTTCTTTTCTAATTATGTGCATTACGTATACCAAATCAAAGTATTTTTTCCGTCCATTGGAGTTCAATAAAAGAGGGACGAAAGATACCAGAGGGACAGCCAAACTCATAAATCGAAAACAAACTGACAACGCCATGGCCAAAAATAAAAAGACAAACAGACAAATAATAGTACAGATGACACAACATAGAAAACTAAAGACTAAGCAACACGAACCCCACCAAATACTGGGGGTGATCTCAGGTGCTCCGGAAGGGTAAGCAGATCCTACTCCACATTTGGCACCCGTCGTGTTGCTTGTGTTATTACAAATCCGGTAAATAGTCTAATTCGGTAAGTCACATAAAACTACACAATGCAGAATGTAGTAATATGCATATTTTCAATATTTCTAATATTTTGTTTTATTTTATAATTTCTCATTCTTATATAGATTTATTGCAGTTATAGGGGAATAAAACTTTAACGTATCAATACACAATTATTCTGATTGAATTATGGCCTTGCATAAAATGTATTACTATAAAACACTATACATGAATGTTTACGATATATTTAAATCATTTTGAATGTATTATTTTTGTCCTAGATAGCGGACGACCGCTGGACATAAGGTTCGACTCATCTACTCTAAATGCGAACCGGTATTTATCAAGAGACAACAGAATTCTGAGCAACCAGTGGTCTAGGCAAACACAAAAAGGTTCTCCTGATAGAGGGGCACTACAAAAGTATAGTGGAGTCATTGCAGACCAGTGTTTTGGAAACGGAAAGAAAATATATTACCGTGTTTTCTATAACTATATATTGGAAACTGTTTTGTCGGGCACTAATCTTATTTTAGAAGTAGGTCTTTCACAGCGTGACGAAATTGATCATGATGATTTTGTTGGACAGAAACAGAGATATGGTTGGTCATTTGCTCTTGCCAAATGCGGGCCGTCATACAAAGGTATTTGTTTCAGGGCAAAACATCTGGGAAATTTAACAACTAATGAATTTTTCAGTGGGAACAGTGTAGGCTTGCAGAAAAATGGTACATTTGAATTACTTATAGACAGAGAGCACAATAAGTTTTCATTGAAAAATTCAAATACACATAAACCTGCTACTTCATTTGAAAATGTTGCCTCGAACAAAAATCTTTGTCCCGTATTCGGAGTTCATAATATACGAAAAGTTAATGTTCAACTCATGATCTTAGAAAGTAGAGATGTAACACAAGAACAGTTCGAACTATAAATCAAAGAGAGGGTGAGATAATGGAGGGGGGAAGAGAGAGAGAAAATGTTCTTGCGTATTTTTCATGAATTAACATGATATAGTTTAATGAGAAGGGAATAAACTATTCTATATTTACTATTGCAGTTTTCATAATTTTATGCGTATACGAATAAGATAAGAAAAGAAAAGAAAACAAGTTATCAAATCAATACATACAAAATAAAGACTGAGCAACACGAACCTTATAAAAAATTGCAGGTCTAGGTGATTAGTGGTGCTCCGTAAGGGTAAAACGTTCCTGGTCTTCTAGGGCACCCGTCATGTTGTTAATAGTAAGTACAAATTTGGTGATACAGTAAGGCTCATTCGATGATGTAATAATCGAGAAAAAGAGGACGAGATAGTGGTTACGACATGGGAACAAATCCGTATTTTATAACAAAATAACTAATCGTGACGGCGTCTGTAACACATTCAAATGGATCAATTCAGCTATTAACCTTTTGATTCAATAGCTTTTCCTTGTAAGCAGCAACCATCTATCCAGGAAATCATGATGGGAAACCGAGCTCTGGAATATATCGTAGCAACTGGGATATATATTTTCCAAATGCAGGTGCTGTTGGAATTTGCTACTTAGGAGTTGAATGCTTACAATTAGGAAGCAGAAATTATCCCGTTTACCTAAACAATTTTATCTACGCCGACCCTCATTGTCCAGTTCGGCGTACGTCAAGATACAAGGCAGAAATAAAAAGGTCATTATTGGTATTCCTTATATTTCAACTTCGATTGGTTAGAAGCGTTGCACGTTAAGTTAAAAGGTAGTGCAAAATTCATTTCACTCTTCTGGGAAGCTCCTTTATGAAGTCTGTATCATAATAAATTAAAGACAAAGTCAAAAAGAGGAGAAACGCCTTCGGTTACCGTAGGAATGTCAATTGTCTGTTAAAAACAAAACCTCCAAACGTAACAAATATATTGTGAATAAAAAAAGTCAAGCATCTTGATGATGTTTGAATCAGAGTGGGGTTTACAAAACAATTGATGTCCCTTATTAAAACAAGAAATATATATCTATGTTGGCGTTTGTTTGGTTTTGGTTTTTTTTTTATTTTGTTTTGTTTTTGGTTTTTTTCTTGTGAAACAAAATTTGTTATACTATACTATTTCATATGCAAGTGGAAAGACACCCATATTGTATGTACTCTAACAAATCTTTGTAATTTTTTAGTATCCACTTCTAATTCAATAAGCCCCTAGAGTAGGAGTTCCTCAATTTTAAGTGTCATTGGAGTATATGTTGAGTTCAACCTCAAGTTCTAAATCGTCATGCGTCTAAAATGTTGTGGAAAATTTAAAAGAAACTATTAAGATCTGCTACTAACACAAGATTCGGAAAATAAATATAGTATAGAATTATTCTGACAAAATTTTAAGATTTTGATAGTAATTTTCTAGAGGTTTCAGATATATATTACTATAAAAACTGGTAGAAACGGTCTAGATCTTTAAAAAGAATTTTCAAAAGGTGGTTGGTCATGCAGATTGTTACACTAACATTTCTGTAAAAGTGAGGGATATGAGGGCTTGACTGGTCAAAATTTTAAGTAATAAGACAATCATGTAATAAACGAACGGTCTGTAAAAACCTGTCAAAGAATATCACTGATATGTTTCTTACATGAGAAGGGAATAAACTATTTTATATTTACTATTGCAGTTTTCATGATTATCTGCGTATACGAATAAGAAAGGAAAGAAAAGAAACCAAGTTATCAAATCAATACATACAAAATAAAGACTGAGCAACACGAAACCTATAAAGAATTGCAGGTCTGAGGAGATTAGTGTAACAAACGAAATGTCTGTAAAAACCTTTCAAAGTATATCACTGATATGTTTCTTACATGGCCTGAATGCGTTGTAACTTTCATTTTCGATTTCCACATTTCCACAATTTTTACATTTGTCTAATACATTAATGTAATGCATAAAATAATCATAGGCATTTACAAAATTTAGGTCAGTATACTTGACCACACGAACCAAATACAACCGACTCATCCGTTACAAAAACAATGAACAACACATGGTCACGATAACCTGAATAGTTACAGTCGCGAAATATTGGTATATATTAACAGTTTTCCACACACACACACACACACACACACACACACACACACACCAATTATTTTGCCTTTTTAAAACCATGTTTCGTTTAAGATAAAGTAGACTATAGAAACATTTACGGTACATTGATAAATTGATCCCTCGAAAATTGCACGGCGTTTCGTTTGCAAATCTTTAAAAAGTCAACAGGAAAAATGGTTTCCGATTCAGAGTTGTATGTTTTTTTTTTCTAATTTATAGTAAACATATCAGCACACTTTGCTTTTACCTGTGAGGATTTGTTTTGATTTATTTCCGCAGTTTTGGTAGTGTTGGATTCGATTTTATAAAAATATGTATTTTGCAATGGGGTATCTAAATTGACTAATCATAGATACCAGAATCAAAATCGTGTACAGCAATCTTAATAAAATACAGATCATGTATCCAAGTTACGCTTACAAGGATCTGACAACACTCTGTTTTATTTTCTGTTCTGGTAATTATAACATCAGCCAATAAGAATTCAGCCTTCAAATTTTTGTAGGTGTGTATGAATCCGATAAAACTAGAGAATCCCGAAAGGTCTTTAAAACAGAGAGTAGAACGGAGCGTTTTCAGATCATTGCAAGCATAGATTGGTCACAGGATCTTTATTTTAATCAGATTGCGTGTACAGACGCGTGTTTCGTCTACAAAAGACTCACCAGTGACGCTCGTATCAAAACAGTTTAAAAGGCCAAATAAAGTACGAAGTTGAAGAGCATTGAGGACTCAAAATTCCGAAAGGTTTTGCCAAATAAAGCTGAATCAGAAGTAATATAATCCTGGGGATAGAAAATAATGAATAAGGTCATAACTGATTCAAAATTCAAACTTTGAACTTCATCACTACTTTTACCTAAAGACAATTGGTTGCATTAGTTTGAACCCATATTTAACTCTTCCAAAAAAAGGTGTAATTTTATTATGATGTTATGGCGCAATGTTTTATCCTATAATCATGATAATATAAAAAACAAATAGGCAAACTTTGCTATCGTATTTCGACAATGATAAGATACGCTAATGCCAATAAATATTAAAATTTGAGAGCATAAAATTCGGCAAATACAGAAGCCACTTGCTGAACGTTTACCCTAGATAACTGACATTCCATCAGCAGTGTTTTCAATCCATATGACTGGGGGGAAATATGATAGCATGCTTTTGTGCTCACAACAAGCATTTCTTGAATGGCCTTTTTCGAGTACTCTTGTGTCGTTTTAAATTGATTTATATTTAAGGAACACTGGAAACATAAATATAAACCATCTGACCAATTAATATATGTTATATGGTTCGCTACTGACCTCCTACGGATCCATAGAGGGTTAGTAAAATCCATAGGGTGTGAGGCCGAAGGCCGAATCTCCTATGTATTTTACTCACCCTCTATGGTCCGTAGGGGGTCAGTAATGAACCGTATAACGAATTTATTGCACGCGGGACTTTTCCTGCCGAGTTTTGTAGAAAAATAAACAATGAAATACAACAACATCAATAGATGACGTCACCATTAACAGTAGACGTGACGTCATGAATCCCCTATGAAATTTACTACCCCCTACGGATTCATAGGGGGTCACCACGTGACGGCGTTAAACCAATCACAACGTCATAATTTACCCGTGGTGCGATAATTTTTCTTGGAGGTATGTATATAATATATTTTCATCTAGTGATCAAACAATGTGCGGCTATCGTTTTAAAGTTTCTTTTACTTAAATAGAAATATAGAAATTAAAATCGCATGGTAAGGTTTTAAAAGAGGGACGAAAGATACCAGAGGGACAGTCAAACTCATAGATCGAAAACAAACTGACAACGCCATGGCAAAAAATAAAAAGACAAACAGACAAATAATAGTACAGATGACACAACATAGAAAACTAAAGACTAAGCAACACGAACCCCACCAAAAACTGGGGGTGATCTCAGGTGCTCCGGAAGGGTAAGCAGATCCTGCTCCACATGTTTTAAGTCCTTTAATAACTGACCTGGCTCTATTCATCCACGTGTGAAGATCCTGCACTGCTGATCATATTTGTTCTAAATTGGTTCCCTCTATTTAGTAAAGTTTATGCATGAAGCACAAATATGGGTAAACGTATTCATTTTAGAAATCGACTGACAAATTAAACCATGTAAACTTTGTTGCAGGTAACGTTTTGCTGAATATATTTTCTTTAACTGTTTTGTCTTTCTTCTACTATAGTTTCTTCAAAGTTAGGTAAAACTTGTCATTCATAAGCCTTTTAAGTTTACTACTTGAAGGAGCTGTCGGAGTTCGACTTTTGGTTTAAAAAAACGGAAGGTAGATATTGCCATTTGAAAAGGTTATATTCCTTCAGATTTTATCTATTTAAAAAGGTTTACAAGATTTCTAAAAACAACGCTAGTATCAACCTTCCTTGTGTTCTATTTTAGTTTTATTACAATGTTGGTTGACAGGCGGGATCATTGGACATGTTTTCAACGGTTAAGTGTTGTCTATCAACAAGCCTTGTTTCATCTACAACTTCAGAAATATTAAAAGTTACTGTAGTAAAACTTACACGCGTGCTGTTATCCTTAAGTCTAAAGAAAGTGTTGTAAGCAAATGCATATTTCATAATATATTTCTTAATTCATAGCCAGTTGCATATACTTTATTACACAATGATAACCCATAAACAAGTGTGGTTAACCCTTTCTTGATTTCTGTTGCATTGACACATTTATTCATTTCCCTTTTCTGTATATAAATGAACATTCCAACAATAGAAATGTTGCTATTTTATTAATTAATTAACATTATATGTGCGCAATAACAAGTTGGTAATGTTCAATTTTCAAAGTTTAACGTGATGGAAGTTCAAATACAATATTGTACCACGGATCGATAATAGTAACCTAGGGAGCAACCATTCAACTTCAAGGGGGGGGGGGGGGGGGGGGTATGGTTTTTTGTCTGAGTCAGAACATTTTTTTTTTTTTCG